TCTGCTGCCTGCCACATCCCTGAACACACATCCCATGAGATGATTTTCTACCGGCGAATATGTAATCCTGTCCGTGGCAGACGTGCTGCTCACACTATATAAAGGGCACTGCATAAACAGTGAGGAGTTTAATGGGCCAGTGCAGCAAAGTTACAAGGTGTCATATGAATGTAGCACCGTCTGGAGACACGGGCCCATCATAACACCTTGTGAGACAGACACGGGGCAGCTGTTACCAGAACTCTCACACTATAAAACTGCTGAAATAAAATAAATAGAAGACTTCTCCCCTACAGACAGGAATGAATGAAGCTCCATTACATTCCAGAAAGTGGGAGAAACTAAATGCATCCAGTAATGTGCAATCCGATCCAAAGCAACCGGATTCAGATACGTTAAGATCAGTCAAATATGAAATCTAATTGCATTTTTTGGGGTTCACTGAATATCCCTGAAAATGTCCCCTTGTCCCTCTTTGTGACTGGAGGCAATTGGTACCTGGATGGGATCTTTCTCCCCTTTGGTTTACAAACATATTTAACCGGCCTAAAGAATAACTAAACTTAAGAGCAAAAATGCATTTGTTTTCTTTTTTCAGGCTAAAAAAACGATTTCACTAGGGATGCACCGATACTGGTTTTTCTGCATCGAGTACCGATATCTTGCTTTCGGTACTCACTGATACCGAGACTGGCGATTCCGCTGGCATGGAGCTGACTTTCCAGGCAACCAGTTAGCCGGGTGGCAGGTATTGACATGCCCCCCGGCTTCCTGATTGCCCGGGAGGCCAGCTCCATGTTGTTTGGCCGGTTTTGATTGTGAATGGCTGGGAAACCGGCTTCCAAGCCAATCAGCATCGAGCCAACTTCCCGGCCAATCAGGAGGCAGGTCATTACTCGCCGCCCGGCTTCCTAAATGGCCGGGAAGCTGGCTCCATGTTCCCCTACGGCACTGCCAGTAAGAGGAAATCTTCCTCTGACCGGAAGTTCCGGTATCGGGGAAGGTATCGGAGCATCCCTAATTTTCAGTAATATTCAGAAAGTACCTGTTGAGCTTGTCAGAAATGCAATATCCTGACCCTGTCACTTTCTGCGCGTTGAACTACTTCCTGTAAACTTTCTTTCTGTAACCTACTTACCCCCCTCCCTCCATGTAAGGGAGATGAAGACAGTAAAACATGTTTGAAGTCCAACCTTGGTATCTACCTCAGCGCCCCTATGGGTAAAGTGGAGGAGTGAGTGAACGTGCCGCTGGGCAGAGCCGCACAGCCGACAACTCTAACACGGGGCTCAAGGAAAGTATATTACATTTTGTAGCGCGTTCAACGCTTGACGGACGCTCTACAAAACGCTCAAACATCTAAATCCCATTGTATTCAATGGGTCTGGTTCACACCTTGCCGTATTTCCGCCCGTCCGAACGCGATACAAAACGGCCTACACCCAAAGAAGTACATGTACTTCTTTGGGGCGTTTTGGTCTTGCGTTTCCATTGGGATACAGCCAAGTAGCCCATGGAAACGCGCGTTTTGTCACGCGGTTTTTTTACCGCGAACAGCTTAACAGCTGCTCTTGAACATTTAACGAATTGCATAATGTCTTGAAGTGTATGTAAACCCAAAAACTAAAATTTAATATAATGCAGCTTAGCAGTCCTTGGATGAGGTTGTTGCATTATTTTTTATTTTACCTGGTGATCCTGCCAGAAACACACTTCCTGTCCCAGGGTGAGAACAAGCATTCACTGTATTGTATGAGGGCAACACAAACAAGGTAAGGCTAGGGTACCCCCAGCTCTCCTATGCCGCACAACATAGAGGGGTCGGGTTCTGTAGTCCTCAGAAGTGCCTGAAAATAATGTAATTTGCCGTCTGGAGACGGCAACCCGCAGATGCTGCAGTGCCGTCCGTCCGTTTTTTTACTACGGGCGGACAGCAAGAGGTTAACAAACTGAAGAAAGAATCTGATTGGATACTGTGGGTAACCGCTCCAGTTCTGATAAATTCCCCTCATAGAGAGCAAATGTTACATTTTTGTTTTTAAATATGTTTTAAAATTGCATCAAAATAATTTTATAGTCCGAAAACAAGAAAATTAGATTGTTGGAATTGTATTGTTTGGTTACATGTATCTTTAGTAGTGGATACAATCCACGTTTGGTATTTAAAATAGGAATGCTGTTCCTGTAATAATAACCGGTTATGAGTTGAGGTAGAACCCACAGAGGGAAAAAATTTACCTGATGTAAAATTATTTAATGCAAAAAAATGCATCTAACGGTATATGAATTAGTCCCATTTGTTGGACATAACTTTTTATTTTGCATTTGTTTTTCTTTCTTTTCTGTTCAAGGAACAACTACAAAAATAACCACCATCCCCATGACTTCCAAACCAAATGTCATTGTGGTGCAGAAAACCACTGGGAAAGGGACGACCATACAGGGTATTCCTGGGAAAAACGTTATGACAACCTTGCTTAACGCCAGTGTAAGTTCACCATACGGGGCTGTGATCTCTATTTCACTGACTGCATTTTATTTATTTATTTTGTCCCGTATGAACTATCAATTGTAATAGTTCAAGTACAATCAAAGTATAACTAAAGGCTCCTGTATGCCGGTCTAAACGTGTACCAAATCCCGTTACTAGCCTCATAAAGTAAGAATTAGGGATGCACCGATACCGAGTACTTGTACTTGCCCAAATGCTTCGATACCTCCAATACCGGAACTTCATAAAGAAGATTTCCTCTGACCAGCACTGCTGTGGGGAACATGGAGCTGGATTCCTGGGCAATTGGGAAGCCGGGCGGCGAGTAATTACCTGCCTCCCGACTTCCTTATTGGCTGGGAAGCCAGCTATCCAGTCAATCAGCATGGAGCCGGCTTCCCGGCCATTCAGGAAGCCAGGAGGCGGGTCAGTACTCGCCGCCACGCTTCCTGATTGCCTGGAAAACTGGCTTCCCGGCCAAACAACATGCCGCCTGGCTTCCTGATTGCCCGGGAAGCTGGCTCCATGTCATTACCCGCCGCCCGGCTTCCTGATTGACCAGGAAGCCGGCTCCATGCCATTTGAAGCATCGGTATCGGCGAGTACCGAAAGCAAAATATCGGTATCTGTGCGTACCTAGTAGTAATAAACTTCCTTTTACCCCCCATGACGGACAAATCCCCTTTATTTGTGTCTCGCATGCTGTCCCTCCCAGAACCTGCATTGGGACTGTTACAGCAACAGAGGTATTGCTGTCAATCCAGAAAACAGTGAGCAGGACTAGGTGGTGGCCAGCTGCTGAATGATAACCTACAGGTTTGTGAATCTGCATAGGCAATGCTGATAGCCACAACTCCCTGCAACATCTTCTCATCCCACTGCAGTGTAAGCAGGCAAAGCCTACATGAGAGTGGCAACTCTGCTCTGGATTCAGGAGAAGTGCAGCATTGTTGTCACAGGAAGCTGCATTAGGTGGTCTTGTAGGTCAGCATGTCCTGTAGTCACTGGCAAGGGGACTAAGAGGAAGCTGTAACTGAAGATGCACCTTTTAATTGTGCTGCTTGAAGATACTAGACGGCGCTGGAGGTCCCCCCCCATCAGTGTGGTTCAGCATGGACGGAGAAATCTGTGGGTGTTCTTTTCAGCTTGTCTGAGCTTGCAAAATTTAGCCACTGAAGGGTAGATTTACTCATCCATCAGAAAAGGTGAGCTCATTCCAGCTACAAGACTGCAGACTGCTGAAGTAGTAGTGGTGCCTGTATAATATTAAGGCCCGGTGCAGACCTCCGCGCCCCGAGATCGCGCGGTCCTGCACAATGCAGGCAGCGATTCCTGTGCGGCCCCAATGATTTCAATGGGGTGACATCCGTGCGGCAATTGCAGAAAAAAGGTACCGGTACCTGTACTTTTTCTTTTGCGATACACGGCGCGTGGCTGTTTTGGCCACAATCAAGTCCGGAAGCACAGGCGAAATCCCGCGCGATCCGCCCAGTGCGACTGGGGGTGCCATGAGAAAATAACTGCACCCACAGCGTGATCGGTTCGCACCTTTCTGACTCCTGACCGCGCAGCATCGTGCACGATTGCCGCGCAGTGAAGTGTCGCCTAGGTGCGCACCGGCCCTTACATGTTTCCACTATCTGTAGACCATCACAAAGTACACGCAATATATTCCAGAACAGTAACCCCACTCGAGTTCCCAACCCAGAGCACTAAGTAGACCACAGATTTAACGCAATACATGGGGTAGGTGTGTGCTGGCGATGGAGGGTTTCTTTTACTGCCCTCACTACCTCCTTCACTCCTAAGAACCTGCCTATGGACTGTAGGTTTAGAAAAAGAGATTGAGAACACAGAGTCCTCAGAGAACAGAGTCCTCAATCTCTTCTTCTGTATCCCCTGTTATCAATGATCAGGAACACTCTATACTGAGTGTTCCTGATCATTGATAACATGAGGACATAGTATGATTACTATTACCACAATCATGAATGAATGGGGGTGATGTAGATCACTTCCCATTCATTCATAATTGAGGATATAGTTAACATACCATATCCTCAATTATGTACAAACACTCAGCGATCACTGAACGCTGAGTGTTTGTAGCCTGTTCTCCTCTCTGACACGCTGTCACAGGAGGCTGGGTGGAGCGGAGCAGGGAGGAGAGCTCAGCCTCCGGTGACAGCGCTGTCTCCGCCCCCACACCACTCTGCTGCACTCTGATAGGTGTGGGAGGAGAGACACCGGCCACTCACAGTGCTCTTGCCCCACAGCGCTCGGCCGGCTGTCACTTTCTCTCCTCCCCGCTGGGACACAGAGCAGCGCCCAGCGGGGAGGAAAAATCACGGACGCGCCGATGTATCGGCAGGAAAATTGCACTTTCGGCATTTAGCCAAAAGTGCCATTTTGGCCGATATGTTTAGGCGGCCGATATATCGGTGCATCCCTAGTAGGAAGATGACCCTTGTATTGTATGTAATGTAGTATTGGCAGGAAGCCCATGATGTAGGCTGCCCAGCAGATTCCTGCTGCCACTGCAAAGGTATTTCCGAGCCCTGTGATTGTTACAATAATAATATTAATAATAAAAAGAAGAATCTCTCTTCAGGTAAAAGGTAAGTTATAAATTCCTGCTGGGCCAGGAAGATGGAGGAGAGGTTTGGGACTGTATTTGGTGTCAACTTTAATTAAAGGAGAACTATGGGGTGAGTGATTTACACTCATCCTCATAGTAAGAGCCAATGTGTGACAATGAATCTGTCACACGTCGGCTCAATAGATTGGGAAGTGAGTGAACACATACCGGTACTCGCTCACTCACCGATCGTCTCCCTGCCATAGCGGTGACTGTCGGTCACCGTTCCCCACAGGGATTCCCCTCTCTAATCCTCCAGTGCTGACTGAAGGGACGGACGGAGGAGGGGGCGGGCACAGCTGGCTCTGCCTCTAGATAGGCAGAGCCAGCTGTCAATCAGCCAGCTAGGTGGACAGTATTGTCACGATCCGTCCCGGCTGCGGCGCTCTCAGTATGTAGCGAGCAATAGCCTGCTATATACTGAGTTTTGGTTCATGGGAGGAGGTTAGTATATGTCCTCCCGTGACCCTAAAGAAACTATGGGATAAAAAGGTTACCCCCAAGTTCTCTTTTAAGCTGCACATTTACAGCTGAACTCCAGGCACAGTAGATCCACTTTGTGTGCACCAAATGCCTTTGCAAACGCTGATATTACCTTGTAATAGTAGGAAATCGTCACTGTTCTGCACATAGTCTGTGCAGGAAGCAGTGCTAGAGTGGGAGTCCTGATTGCCCCATGTATTTGTTGCTGGCGTGCTGTGGTTGGTGCAAGGTTCTGCTTTTTTAAAATCAAAGATCTGTTTATATTATTTTTACATCTATATTTTCATCTTTTAATGTCGGTGTTTTTGTACATTATAGCAAAACTGCTACCCAATAAAAGAATTTGTTCAAGCTGAACTCCAGGTAAGCATTACTTACGTTGGTCCAGCTTGGTGTTCTCTGATTGGTTGAGTGGTGGATCGTGACATGACCGCCCCTCATCAAATTTAAAAAACGCCTTATAGTAATTTATCACAACACTGGGCGTTTTCTGAAGGGCCGCTGTGCCGAACGAGCGATCCCCTGTGTTTTCAGAGCAAAGGGGGAGTTGCTCCACACAGTGGGAGTGGAGGACATCGCTGTTAAGCAATGCAGTTGCTCTGGCTACTAAGGTGCTTTACAGTAGTGGCTCTCAACCTGTGTAACCTCTAGACCCACATTTGTCCTCGGTCATTAAGTCGCGACCTAAGTCGCACCGCAATGGAACGCACAGCATTGCGGTACTGCGCTTTCCAGTACAGGTGATTGAACTGGGGGTTGTAGGTGTGTTTTGGAGTGCCATTCAAATGAATGGCAATGCAACGCACCTCCCCCACCAGAACGCACAGTAGGTGCGATTGCATGGTACAATGCGTTAATCGCATGCGAATAACGTACTGTACTACTATGAACAGGCCCTCAAAAACATTGACAGACACACACAACCACAGACATATATTTTTTTAACATTTTTTTTTTTAGACTCCCTACCTTACGAAAACTGGAGTGGATTCTCAACCTGGGGTCCTGTGTGGGCTGCTATGCTGTGATGGAGCTCCATCCATATGTGTATTGCTTGGACAGCTCCCTTGCATGCTTTGTAGAGGTGCCGGGAGCCAAAATGTGATGTCACTCCAGGGCATGCAAGGGAGCTGTAAGCAATGCACGTATGGATGGAGCTCCCCCATGGCCATAGCCCCAGCCCAACCCACCTCAAGTCGACACAAGATATTTTGAATGGCTGCTCTGTGCGAGAACTGACAGTGCTGCGCTAGGGGGAGGCTGAGGAGCTTCTCACCTAGAAAAGCGGAAGGCATGTGGCGACCCACTGGACACTGGTAAAGCAAAACAAACGACAAACGCACTCAACAATTTGTTACCAGTTATACAGTAAGGTGCACACGAAATGGGCTTTGAACAGTAGAACAGTAGAAAGGCATCATGGCACACTCACAAACCAGCATGTAAAACAACTTGTCTCACCACTAAGGACAATGACAGAGGTTTGGATACACGTCTTCTGCAAAGGATGTGTAAGCCGCACTGCCGCGCCAAGGCACCTCTTATAGTGCGGTCCTAACTCTAAACTATGAGAGTCTCCATCTTGGAGCACATGGGGCAGAAGATATCAAATTGGGTGCAGGCCTGTCAGGAGGACGCCCCACCTCCTTAAAGGTACAGAAACACACAAGGGATCCCGCACATCCCATTGGCAGCTGAGAAACCCCATGCGTCGCTGCACCAAATCGGTAAAGCAAAACAAACGCGTTTGTGTGTTTCTGTACCTTTCTGTACCGATTTGTGTGTTTCTGTGCCTTTAAGGAGGTGGGGCGTCCTCCGGACAGGCCTGCACCCAATTTGATATCTTCTGCCCCATGTGCTCCAAGATGGAGACTCT